CATCCCCCGGTGCCGCGGACACGCTGTCCGACATTGCACCGCATGCGGGAGACGAAGTTGGGCTCTGCCCGGGTTCGCTGTCAACACCAGCGAAACTTGGTGACTTCAGTGTCATTGACACAGGGCTTATTGAGCACGGAACTCGTTCTATTCCAACGAACCAAATTGCAGTGGACATGCGAGCCTCGTTGAGGCAATAATCGATTGGAACTGTAAATGTTCTCAATCTTGATGGGGAAGAGTGTAACAGGGTTACACGTACCCTGGTAACAGGGGTGTGTGTCACACGAGATGGGCATGGTGTGACTGCACCTAATCAAGAATACGGTATGTGGCTACGTAGCCAATAGTTATGCATGTATTAGATTTTACTATATATATTTGGAAAAATCTATACATTTAAAATTAGGCGGCTTTGCCGCAGATAAAAATAAATAAAACTCAGTTTTGGATTTTAAAAGGAAGAATAATTAGCTATGGGTTCAGGCAATAATTACTCTTGGAGTAAGCGGATTGCAATCTGCTAACTCGTACTTGTTCTAAGTATAGAATAAAAGGTCGGTGACCTAAATTACGCTTTCTCTACGCACATCGCTACGGCAGCCCCGCTGCAATATGGCTTATGTCCTGAAAAGTAGTAGTAAGCAGTGGTCATAGGGGGCGCTACTCAAAGTGTATTCTTGTCGGGACAGAATAAAGTTTGTTGCGGCTCTGGAATGTCCATCTCGTGGGACAGTAACTAACAAGTTTAAGCGATGGCTCGCCTGCTAGAGCCGGTGGAAAGAAAAAGGGCTAGATTTCACGGCGATTTGCCACTGTGCTGATGGAGCCGGATGCTTACTGTAAGTCACATGACGTACGATTCATCTTGTCATAACGTAAAATTGTCGCTCAGTACGACCAGAACGGAGCAGTAATATTTCATGTGTTACTGACATGATCTAAATAAACTCGTGAGAGGAGCAATCGGGATAGTACAAATGTTATAAGTCCCACCTAGCTCGAATCATATAGACCCAGATAAATGACCCTTAGGAAATTTATGCAAAATGTTGCAGGATGGTACACTGAATCTTTAGAGCTCAACATTAAATTAAATTAATTTCTGTAATTAATATATGAAAGTCAATCAGCCCTCACTAAGGGAAGTGTGGGCTTCGTTGACACTTTTGTTCGAGCGAAATACATACCAGGCTCGGCAAGAGGGAATACATCTCCCACTCGGAGGCAACGTTCTGTGTAAGCAAGGCTACCTGCGAATGACGTTTGTGATTAACTATAATAAATTGAATGCAGCCACGATTCCGGACAACTACTGATTTTCAGGTAGGATTTACTGTAGAACAGCACAGCCGGCGGTTTTTGTTTAATCTCCTCGACAGAGTCATTAGACTAAATTAGCTGACTGACTTATGGAAGGTATGCTTGATGTCGGAACGGTTAGGGTTACGTGTGTCAGCTGAAAACCCTATTAACGGGCCTAAATAAGCAGCAAGCATCCAGAACAAAGAGAGTTCATCACGAATCTGTGAAATGTGGTTTCAATAGCTGCGGACGGGACCAGTGCATTTATGTCAAGCGACTCCGGAAAGGTTTTGCCTACTTTAAACTAAAGGTGAATTACATCATTGTCGCAGCAAAAACAAGTTGGAAGATCAATTAAGTCAAGGAATCGCTCCAAAACGCATCCAATATGAAAAAGCTGATAAAACCGGGGCTCTTCATGGTCAAAAAGATTCACCACGTTAGGTCAGCTGAAATACGTATTATCAAACAGACTAGTTCCATCGTTAACGCGGTCAGGCGATTCGGTCAGCAAAATGCCAATACTGTGAACAATCCGTACGCATCAGGATTGAAGTTGTGGTCAGAGCAGTCGCGCACAATGGAAGATTTTCGTTTGACGATGCCTTATCGGACCTTGACTGAGTGTCTGCTGAACATTACAACACGTACTTGACATACGTGATATCACGTTCTCTTAATTGCACGAACGCCGGTTCTATAATTACAAGTTACAATTCTCAAGGGCATAGGTCACGAGAAAGTGGGAGGCACACAGGCTTGGAATGTCAATTTACGAGCTCTTGCTTTCGACAACAACCATGCTTAGACGAAGCATGGGGACACCTGGCACCCCATCTTTCGCGACAACAAGCAAGAAGGAACCTCAGAGATGAACCCAGTCGACAAGAGTGTCCGCTTGCGGTTATGCTGACAAATAACTCAGATTCAAATTGCGTACATTCATGCGAGGCAGCGGGTATCAAGACCAAGCCAATGCCAGGGAGTATCAAGCCTTGGTCGAAAATGGGGGAATTGAGATGGCACCGATAAATACAGCTGAAAAATTATGTTGCAGGCTACATGTATAGTTTAATTCAAACAAATTACATTTTTCGTACAACTAACAAACCCAGATTAAACTAAAGGTTAAGCTTACTTTTTTCGATTGAGGGTTTAATTCCGTCAAAGTACAGTATTCAATACACGGGGTGTAGTGTAAACTGCGGGGCTCTGTGTGGCTTTTACTTTAGCTAAGACATATGCTCAAAAAAGCATTTTGTACGAAACAAAACAATGAAAAATGCATTTGGATTTATATAGTAAAAAGCAATGTGTTGTCGGATATGTGGTTAAGCGTTATGACATAAGGGGTCAAAACTGATCAATTTTTTCGAGCTTAACACTTACATCATATGACACTTTCAAGGCTGCTGTTATCAGCCCCATACACATTTTTACTTTATTCTGGTAGCTTAATGATTCGTTGTCATCGAACAATAATTTCAGATTCACTACAGAACTAGTTAAAATTGAAAACTTGCATTGGAAATAAATAAAAGGCAGTGTAGCGAATTTAATCTGTTGAGGTGTTGTGACGCAACGTCACAGATTTGTATACGGTGCACAATGGCAACTTGCTAGTTGAAATGGAACCTTCTCGAATTCAAGTTTACAAGGTTACAAAACATGCGTTTAGAAGCTGGTTAGTGTTCTGACAGCTAATTCACTTTGCTATTCTGCGCTGCAAAATGTTAAAGGTTATGAGCCCAAATGCTTCAAAGCCCAACGAGATACTCAGCGACGACAACTACTACCTGTGGGAGTTCAATGTTTGGATGGCGTTGACAATCAAGGGGATGCAAGAAGACCTCGAAGCCATGAAGCCAGAAGACGCAGCGCGCCGTGAGACAGAGGAGTGGAAGGCCGCCGACATGAAGGCGCTGGCTATTGTGGCCCAAATTCTTAATTCAACCTACCAATCGATGATTCGCGAGCGGGGGTTCAGCATATGACGCATAGGAAAAATTGCTTGCGTTCTTCGTGAAGCACTCACTTTATAATCGCGTGCAATTGAGGAAACAGCTGCATGAATTTTTGCTAGGCACGAGTGGAGACCTGATGAGGCACATCGTGAAGTTTGATGATCTGTGTTTGAGAATGACTGCGGTAGGCGAGGTCGTGTCTGAGGACAAGAACTGGTCGTTTTACTTGAAAGTTTACCCCAGAAGTATGATGCAATGATCCCTTATTATCGAGGCGCAGGAGAAGGTGACGTTGCTGGACGCAAAGAGATGCTACTCCGTGAGCTCGAGTTCGCTAAGAAGAAAGAGGAGAATGAGCAAGCATTCAAGTCTTTGATGCACGAGCAAGGTGACAGAGGTGGTCGTGAAAGAGGTAACAGAGGCCGACGTGGTGGTCGAGGTGGCCGTGAAGGCTACAATGGTGGTCGTGGTCAACACTAGAAGAAGTACACTGAGCCAACATTTCGTGGGTACTGCTTTAACTGTAACGAGTTTGGTCACAAGCGTGATGACTGTCCTGAGTTGTAAAATTGGAGGATAGGTTTGTTTTTTCGGCCACAACGGATTGTTCAACACGAGAGGTTACCTGGCTGCTCGATAGTGGAGCGAGCTACCACATCACAGATAAGAAATGCAACTTGCGTCGCATATGAGACGATAATGCACCAGTGGAGATTCAAGGGTTAAACATGCCAATCATCATCACCGTGGCTAGTGGACAGCAATTGCTAGCCAAAGGAAAAGGAGCTGTGCGTTTTGTTGTTGGACTGCGCGAAGGACCAAGTTAAGGGAGGTTTTGCATGTGCCCTAACAGAATAGGAAGCTGGTTTAGTTCCAGCGTTGACGGAACGTGGCGTTGTCGTGTAGTTTGAACGCGATCAAACGACGCTAGTGGTGTGGAGAAGTACTAGACATAGTTCATCGAAACAGTAAGCTGTTCACAGGTAGAACAGGCCGTCCAGGTAGATGCTATAATGCGTGGTGATAGAACGTTATGGCACGCTCGATTGGGCCGTATTTCCGCATCGAAAATGCAAGCTGCTGCGAAAATAAGTGATGGGCTGCCTGGACTTCAACATGAAGAAAGCAACATTACCACTAATTGTGGTGGCTGTGCTAAGGCAGGATAACGACGAGTCTGTCCGCACAAAGTTCCGGCTGTGAAGTCAAGACAAGATGCCTCTGAAAGTCGTACACACTAATATTATGGCCTAATGAAGCCCAAATTGAAAGGTGGAGCCTTGTATGTGCTCACGTTCATTGACGACTACAGTAGATACGTCTACGTGTATTCGCTTTCTTCGAAAACACAAGTTTTCGCGCTTTCGCGAGTGCAAGACCCTCGCAGAGAACCAAACTGGCTACAGGATAAAGTGTGTTCGTAGCAATAACGGAATTCACCAGTGCGAATATTCATTGGGTTTGTGCTACCAACGGCATCGTGCATCAAACAAATGCTCCGTAATCTCCGCAGCAGAATAAATTGGCGGAGAGAATAAATCGCACGCTAATTGAAATGGCTCGAGCGATAATGGATCACATGGACGTGGAGCGACACTGGTGGGGAGAGGCCGTGATGACAGCTGCTCATGTAGTTAATCGTATCCTGAACACTGCGCGTTGTGACAAGATTCCAATCCAAGTTCTCACCGGCACGCGGCACCCACTTAAGCACATTAGGTTATTTGGATCCACCGGGTACGTGCATCTCGACAAGAGTAAGAGGACGTATTGGGACGCGAGGTCGTACCGCTGCTTGTTCTTGGGATATGCTGACGGCTCGAAGACATACCGAACATGGGAACTCGACAACAAAGGACTGATCAAAAGCACACGGTGATGCTTACTGAGTGGCCACCTGCTCGTCATCACGATGATGTTTTTGTTGATAGCGGCGGAAGCGAAACGAAGTACGCGCAAGAAGACGACGACGACGGGTTGAGTGCGCCGACAGGTGCAAGTACACCCACTGCCACAGACATGGAGATCGATGGAACGGAAGATGACCTTGTGCGTATGGAGCTGTTGCTCCAGCTGCCGAAGTTGTACTTTAGGGGGGGGGTCCTCGAGTGTTTCTCACGCTGTCGCTGACAAAACACGTTCAGGCGAAACTTCGTCGAAAATATATTCTGAACGAGAACTTCGATGTGGTAGTCCCAGCAATTCTAAGGCTATCTCATCTAGACAAGTACCGCTGTTACCTCCCCTTCTCGCAAATTGAAGCTTAAGTACAACCTAGGCGAGTAATTTCGATGATGATTGCATGGTGTTTAGCGCTGGATCAAAGGTTGGGCGTGGACCTCGTGTTGAGCAGACTCGGCTATTAACCAACGGAGATGAAGCTGATGACATGCCTCCGCTTCCAAATGAACCTCATGTGAGTTCTCAAGACTACGGTGTGACTGAATAAGCGGACTCCAAACGCCCTCATTTTGATGAGCTCGATATTGCATTGGCGGTCACAGAAGTTCCCACGAGCTATGCAAATTTCAATCGAATCATGCGAAGCCAAGCAGTGGGAAGAAGCTATTTGCAAAGAATTCAGGGCACACATCCGCAATCACACGTGGGATTTGCTCAGGCGCCCGCATGGTGCACGAGTTATCGGGTGGAGATGAGTATTTGCACACAAACTTGATGAGAACGGCAAAAATGTCCGATACAAAGCTCGTTTAGTGGTGCTTGATGGTTTTGTAAATTCGTGGCGTGGACCACTACTGCACGTACACCCTGATGGCGAGCACCAATACCATTCGCGCTTTATTGCGGTGTGCTGCAGGAAGCGCTTGAAATCCGACAATCTGACATTGAAACCGCGTTTTTAATGAGATGCTTGAAGAAGACATGTCTATGGCAGTGACACAAGGTGTTCGAGTTGACGACGGGTTTGTATGCAAGCGGCAGCGAAGTCTTTATGGCTTGAAGTTAACCGCTGCAGTCTGGCACAAGACTATTCGAGATGTATTTGTTGACATGGGATTCGCACAATGCCATGCAGATCCATGTATGTTTGTCCGTCTAGTCAACGATGACAAGCCTCCTGTGTATATCGTACTCTATGTCGATGATCTGCTTGTCGGCTGTACCACGGATGCTGAGGCAGATGCGATTTGTGCTGCACTTAGTGCCAAATTCGCCGTGAAATCTGTTTGCGACGCTAGATATGCTCTCGGGATGGAGATTTAGTATGCACCGCAGAAGGGGGAGCCTTTGTTGAGGCAGACCCAGTTCATCAAGAGAATTCACGAGCGATTCGGACAAACTGAAGCAAATGCTGTGCGTGCTTGGTTAGGACTTTACGCCAAACGAATCGCATGAGGTGCACAAAAATGATCGGTGCTACCAAGAACTAATTCTGGGTCTCTTTTGTATGTCGCCAATGCTACCAGGCCCGACATTAGCGCTATCTTGTCAACACTCTCGCAGTACCTGGATTCTACATGTGTTATGCACTGGCGGGCGGCGGTGCGCGTCCTGAATTATCTCAAGGTACATCTACACATGGGGTCGGCTCTGCGCTGGAACAAGGAATCAACTTCGTATCAAGGCTTATGCAGACGAAAATTGGGGAGGTGACAAGCACACAAGGCGCTCAACGTCTGGAGTATTATTGCTGCTAGCGGCAGACCACGGTGGCTTTGTCTTCCGCTGATGCAGAGTATATGACACTTGCTTTGGCCACGCAAGAGGTCATTTGGCTACGCTACCTGTTGAGTGAGATGGAGCTCAACAAAAAGGCACCACATCATATAAATAACCTAAACAGACCTTTATTAAGCAAACAATTACAGAACGGAGGTGATGCATAATGGGATACGTGAAATATATAATTAAACATCCGGTATGCGATCGATTCACCAGACAATTGAATCAATAGTTAACATTGTTACTATATACCACACTTATGCACCCACAATTTTCGAGGCCGCAAGTACCAGCGAATAAATCTTATTTGCAGAAATGTTCGGTATCCAATATTTGTACCAAACATACAAGGGACCCATTTACGATCCCAAGTTCGTCATTTTGAGTAGTGACCTTGGCCTGTCCTTCCAGCTCATCTCGGTCGGTGGATCTCCTTAGTCGGAAAGTTTTTTTCGTGATTGACCAAGTATAGTCTGCTCGATCTACGAACCGTGAAAAGCTTCGAAGGAATGGCTCGCGTGCTGTCTTGCCGCTTCTTGCGTCTCAGCTGCAGCGAAGATGATCACC